CTGAATTTGATTCCTTGAAGAGCTTCCTGATTAAGTTCCTATTAAAAATATGTAAAGAAGAAACAAATTCTTTGTACAGATAAATAAGCAAAAGCTATCAGATCATAAATCATTTTTGTATTTATTATCTCAAAATATATATTGAGATAAATTTTTCTAAGATCATAACATTGGTAAGTGATAGAGCAAGGTCTTAAATATAAACAGGTCTTTTTATTTAAGTCCCAGTCTCTTCCCATATAATTGGCCAGTCACAGTGCTTGGTACCAAAGATACAGCGGTGAATAAGATGCAATCTCTGTTTTCTAGGATCTCACAGTTTGGTCAGAAACAGATGGGTTTAGACTTGACTTTGGTGCAATGTGATGAGCTCTATACTGGTGATAGACCTGGAAGGTATGCCGATCAGTGCAATGGGTAGGATTTTAGCAGGGTAGGATTTAGAAGATCAGGAGACCATTTGAATGGAGGAAATGGTACAAGCAAAGATATGGAAGCTGGAAAGGTGTCTGATTAAGTGGGATTCTATAGACGTTGTGGGAAACTGAGTTGCAAGCGTACACTGAAGCCAGAACATGGAAGGCTTCTATGAGCATTCCATCAACATGTATTTATTGGACATGCATCATGGCAAGCTGCTGTCATGGATGCAGGGATACAGTAGCGAACAAGACAAGATCCTTATGCTTATGGACTTTGTATTCTAGATGGGGGAAAAGACAACAGATGAGTGACACAAAAGCAAGACATAAGCCGTGGAAAATGCTAAGGACAACAACATCAGGAAAGAGGGTTATGAAATAAAGAGTGATTGGGGGATGATCTTTTAGATCAAGTATCAGAAAAAGTTCCTTGGATGAGGTAACCTTTTTAGTTAGGGTCTGAATAAAATGAGGAGCCAAACACATATGGTCATGGAGAGGACTCTTCTGAACAAAGAAATACCTGGTTCAAAGGCTTCCAAGTAAGAACTAGCAAGTCTTGCTAGAATCATGGAAAAAGGCCCGAGTGGTAGGAAAACAGTACGGTAAAAGAGAGTGGTGAAAGGTGAGGTCTGGTAGGTAGGGCCCCTTACCGCAGGAAGACATACTGGAATGATACTGGAATTTATTCTCAGTAGAGAGGGAAACTACTCAGAATTTTTAGCAGGGAGTCATGTGATGTGGCTTACATTTTAATTTTTTCCTGGTTTTTATTGGTGCATTATAATTACACATTACAGTGAGATTCATTATGAGAGATTTATACATGTACAAACCATAATTTAATCAATCTAGTTCCCCCGTACTTTCCCTTTCCTTCTCCTCCTCTTTTGCCTGATCTTCTTCCTCTACTCTGTTGGCTTCCTTCTAATGATTTTTAAAAATAGTGCATGATAATTATCTATCAAAGTCGGATTCACTGTGGTATAGTCATACGTGGACAAAACATAATTTGGATGGTTTTATTCCCTAGGACCTCCCTTTGCCCTCCCCCTTCCCTTACTCTGTTGGTCTTCCTTCTGTTTTCATGAGATCCCACGTTTATTTCTTTTTTTTTCCTCTCTAGATACCACATATGAGATGAAACATTCAACCCTTGACTTTCTGAATCTGCTTTATTTCACTTATCGTGATGTTCTCCAGTTCCATCCACTTAGCAGCAAATGACGTGATTTTATTCTTCTTTAGGACTGAATACAACTCCATTGTGTGTGTGTGTGTGTGTGTGTGTGTGTATCACAATTTCTTTAACTATTGTTAGACCAGGAAGCAAGAAAAGACCACTGACTCCAATTAAAATCAAATTAAAGCAAGCTGATTATTTCGACCGGCCGGGCTGCCTCTCCCACCCAAAACCGCGGGAACAAGACAGCAGCCGCAGCTTTCCTGCAGCCCAGCTTTATAGGCCAGAAAGTTACACAAAGGGGGGTTACAGATAACAAAACTCTGACAAGCATAACATTTTTGCTGGCTCTGGCATCAGAATTTATGAAGGTCACTAGAGCCTCAGAGAGGGTCGGTATCTGGCCAGGGAAGGCCAAGATTTGTGAGGCCTCACTAAAGTTTCAGAGAGGGCTGCCATCTGGTCAGAGAGCCAGGCATGGGTGAGTTCAAGGCACGGGCAGGCAGTCGAAGCAGGTTCAGAATTTGCAGTCATTTATAGTAAAGCCAAAATTAGCTTTTCATGGCTTTGTGGCGAGATGGCTCCTAATTTTAAGAGAAAATCAGGTTGGATCTATCACTATTTGTCTGTTAATGAACAATTAGGTTGGTTCCCATAACTTGGCTATTTTGAATTGCGCTGCATTGGTATGAAATAACTGGGTCATAGATAGTAAACTAGGGTTCTACTCCTCATCTTTTTTTTTTTTTTTTTTTTTTTACCAGCAATTGATTCCAGGGGTACTTAATCATTGAGTCACATCCCTAGCCCTGATGAGTTTGATTTGAGGACAATGAATGGTTACAGGAAAGGATATCTCCTGGGTGTTTGCTTGAGCTCTGTGGTAACCCACCAGGTGCCTTCCTGAGCCCTGAGCAACTGCCAGATTTTGAGGCCTTTCACTGTATTTTCACCCTTTGGTTTAGTTTGCTGGGGAGGGTTTGAGCTGTAGAGAACATTCTAGAGGAAGACTTATCTTACTCCTTAACAAATGTGCCCTTGAAGCAGCAGCCGACACAGGAATTTCCATTGATCTTGAGGTCCAGGACAGACCTTTTCTCCAGGATCCTGGTCCTTCTCCTTGACTGTCCTTTTCAATCCTTCCAGGGGTAGCTGCTTCTTTCTTCCTGGTGTCACAAGGTGATTTTCCTGAATCTAGGATGTTGTTGTGCCTTGCACAAAGGTTGTTTTCTATGCATGTATCTCGTACTATATTTTGATTTCCTGGAGGGAGGGGACTGTTGTGATAAATTGTTATATTCTCTCTGTAGAGAGTATGACCCAGTGGCTCTCAGCATCTCCTTTCTCCTTCCATATTTCCTAGGCTCCTTCACAACTCAAGTTGTGGATGCAAATTAATGTTTTTTTTTTCCAATTAGATGTGCTTGCATGAGATTTGAAAGGTAAGAATGAGTCAGAGGTCATCATTCTATGATTTTGGCTGTTTGTTTTGGAAAGCAATTTTATAGAGGTGTGGTTGTTGGCAGGCAATTTTGGTAGCAATGCCAGCAGCTTCAGGATCCTAGGTTTCTGAATCCTGAATTATAGCTCAGGTGATATATTGAACTCAATAGTCCCAGGAGTTTCTTGCAGATTTCTAATAATCCAGCCCTCATTATTCTACGCATAATATCCTTTTTGTTGAAATTACTTAAAAAGGTTACTGATTTATTTATTGAGCTCTAATTTTGTAAGAGGTTCATTTAGTCTCTCTTGTCTGATCCTGTGTTTTATGTACAGAGGATGCTCAATAAATATCCAGTTCAATTTATTCTGAGGCCAGAATCATTTTCTCTATTTCTAAACAGTTACTGAGGGCCACTGAACATCAGTGGCTACACTAAGAGCTGAGCCGTACCACGCTGAGCTGGTGTGGTCTTATCCCCAGTTTGGCAGGGAGGATAATTTACAGATGGGCCAAACGCTATAACTGAAGTGAGTGGGAATGAGGAGAAATCACTGCTTGGAGTGTCTAAGAAGGCTGCTCAAAAGAGGTGATGTCTTCACGGGTACCCAAGGAATGTCTGGGTTTTGACCAGGCCGAAAACAGGGAGGGGTTTCTCAGGATGATGGAATGTTGTATTTAAAGATACGGATTCATGAAAGACCGCAGTGAACTAAGAAAAGGCCAAGTCCTTGGCATGAGTGGAGCACTGGATACTCCTGGGAATGGCCTCTCATTAGATTGGGCTGAGTAAGGTCATCTTGGGTCAGAGAGTAAAGGGTCCATGAGCCATGCTAATAAGTTAATAGAGTTACCAGGGAGCTTCTCTGAAAAAAGAAGATTAAGGCAAGAGGAGATGGAGATGTGAGAAGATACTCAGAAGTCATGGAGGATGCAGAATGGGCAAGAATCAGTGACCCTTTGAATGTGGCCGTGAATGAGGGGTAAGAGTCAAATGTAACTCCTTGCTGGGGGAGGGGGCCAAAAGCTATGTTTAGATAAGTTCCATTTTTGACTCTTTTTTATTTGTTTCATGTTGATCCTTATTTTTATCACAGCCCAGAAAGTCAGAAGTCAGGAAATGAGGTCTTATTCTTGGAAAAGGGCCCACAATTAAAGATAACATGGTTCCACAGAGAAGAAGGAAAAGCCATCAAAGTCATTGCTCACCGATCATTTATTGAGTATTTGAATACAAGTCTGGGGTCTGCACATCGATTTTGTTGGGAAGGGTTTTCGGGACTTGGAAGCTATGGATCATGGGGATCCATAGCCTTTGGGGATCTGCAAACAGATGACATAGGCTTTCTATTTTTATGTGATTGGAAACTAGAAAGGCATTGAGTTGGAATGGGTTCAGTCAGTTCTTGTGACAGGCACTTGATGGATACTCCCTCTGGTGAGGGGTAGGGCCTGGGCGTGGGGGATGTCAGTGTCGTTGGATGGTCTCCTGGCAGCCTCTCACGGTGTTCATTCTAGTCTAGACTGCGATGCTTGCAGTTTCTGATGTTTTATGCACCCGAGCCCAAGCCCTCCCAAGCCCAAGTTTCTTCTCTTTAGTTGTAATGTAAATCTTTGGCGTAGTTTTCCTGTTTCTGAACTTTAYGGAGAAGTGTTCCATCTTTCAGTGATCCAACCAAGTCTCACTTGTTCAGAGGGCCAACCAAGAAATGATTTAAATCCCTAAATTGATCAAAATTAAGAGTTGATTCTTTCACCCCATTTACTACTTAGATTTCACCCAACCAGAAAATCCTAGGATTGCTGCTTGAAAGCCTGAAATGCCTRAAAAGTGAATCCTAGTTCTCAAAAGCATCCCTGCAGGTAGATGGAAGGAAGATAGACTTTTTCAACTTTTAAACAGAACAAAGATGACCTTCTTGGGGGTGCCTTCTTTGACTTTGCACATAGCCTAGTAGTTGTGTCGTTTCAGCTCTTGAACGTAGGCRTAAAAGGGGTTGGGGACATTAGCAGTCTTGGTGGGGTGACCTCCACCCTGTTCACTTTTCTGGAGCCTTCCACGGCTTTGGGCTGGATGAAATCGTCCCCCTTGGGAGCTTTGGCTGTGGTCCTCCTCGTTCATGTGGAATTTCTCTCTGTTGGGAAACCTTTGCTGGGGTCCTTGGGATTGTTGACCTGGGGACCCCTTGTACCTGTCTGTCTTCTCATGGTTCTGTTTATCCTGTTGTTGKTGGTGGTGATCCTCTTTGTGAGTTGGTCTATTTTGTCTCTGGCGCTTCTGTTCGTCTGCAGAGGTCTGTCTGTCCTCTGTCTGATGGTGCTTTTCCTCTTYGTGGCTCCTTCCATCCTGGGCCTCACATGGGCCCTCCTGACCCTCACGGCTGTGTCTATCCCAGCGTTGATGGCGCTGTTCCTCTGCTCTGTGGCTCTGCTCCTCGTCCTGGCTTTGCCTGGTCTGGACCTGCCTGTGGCTCTGCTCACTCCTGCCTGATTGCCCTTCATGGCAAAGCGGCCTTTCTTGCTGGATTTGCCCTAGGAGTTTGTGTTGGTGGTGTTGGCTGTCTGCCTCAGGCTTCCAAGGCTGCAGGTTCTGCTTTTGCTCCTCCCTGGGCTGGAACTCCTGTCTCTGGTTTTGCTTCTGCTGATTGCCTCTCCCCGACTTTCCTGACTGTTCACCATCTGAGCTTCTTCCTGTTCCCCGAGTCCCTTGGGAGCATCTGTTTTGTCCTAGTATTTCAGTTTCCCCAGTCTGTGACTGACCACAGTGGGAACCCTGACCCTGTCTGTCTGTCTGGCCATAGTGGGAACTCTGTCCCTGTCTG